TTTTAAGTCTTCCTTTCATGCAAGCACTGATTTTATGGACGGGATCGTGCACTTGCGAGGCCTTGTCTTTGCGACGGTCGTGGGGGTCTCCATTCATTTGCGGGAGGCCATTTTCCAGAGTGCATCGCTACTAGTAACAAGGTGCATCGCTACTAGTAACAAGGGCGCTACTAGTAGCTCCTGGCATTACTACTAGCAACAAGAAACTACTAGTAACAAGGTGCATGTGTCTCTTCACGTGTGCTATCGGTCCATTTGTGGCCAGTGGCTGCGCGGGCAGACCCAGTTGGGCCGAAAGACATGGCCCGAGACTTGGTGAATTTTCGTTTGCACCTGGTCCGTTTTGACCGAAGATGGTAGAGGAAGTTGAACACTTGGATGCCATCCAGTGGTTGAATAGCTAATAGTTTGAAGGCCATCCCTGTGAGGTTGGAGGCCATTACTTCTAGTAACAAGAAGCTACTGTAGTAGGTTGGTTTATATAACACCCCTAAGGCCACAACTTCTGGTTTGGCTCCTTTATGCTCCGGATCGCGCCTCAAAGGAGCTGCAGAAGTTTGTCCATTTCTCCGGATCGCTTTATCATCTAATGCTCGAGCAGTTGTGTTGCTCTGTGTCATTTCTGATCTAAAGATGAACTCAGGTGCTCGTCACACCAGCTGGGATCCTTGGAGCTACTAGTATGAGAGAACCAAGAGGTTTGAAGGGCTTCTGGCTGCAACATGGTTGGAATCTTCTTTTGACTGGAGTTGTGCAGAAGGATATCGTGCTAATCACCTCTTGGTTAAGTTCTAGATTTGTTCCAGGCAGTATACAACTTGGGTTCAGTGCATCATAGCATGGAACTGAAGCCTAAAGTATGGCAGATCGAGGAAGGAATGTGAACCTCTTTTTGGTGCATTCTTCCATTGGAGGCCATCGCTCTTAGGTTGGAGGCCATGTCTTTATGTAGGCTTTGTCCTGTAGGTTTGAGAAAGGACTGGGCACCTTGTGAGGCTACGGCCTTGCCCTGCTACGGTCTTGCCAACTCACCCGGCAGCACTTTCTGTGCCTTGGATGGCGAAACAACAATTTGCACGTTGGATCGCAACAGACGTTTAAGGCCGTTGAAAGGGCAAGATGAAGAGGTTCTGACTCAAATAGGTAACTTCCAAGTAGCGGGTAGCTGTCCGAAACATGACTACTCGCAAAGGCTTCCTTGCAGTGTGTCATTGTCACCCAAGGTGTAGTTGCTGCGATCAACTTGCTTTTCTACTCTGACTTCTTTAGCGAGTAGGAAAAACAGACCGTGAGGCTTGTTGTGGCGCTTGAAGCAAAGCAGGATTTTGAGTGCAGTGCTATTGAAGCATCAAATGAAAGAAGCTTGATATTAATTTACTTTGGCTGCGCTTTGGCTGCGCTTTGGCTGCTTTGTGCCACTGTGCTCACACTTTGTGCTTTAGGCTCGGTGAAAGAAAACTAGTCAGACTTGGACGCCT